CAACTATTTATGAATTTTTATATTAAAATAAATTTACAAGGAGTTGCAACTTACTGAGTTGCAACTTCTTAATTATGTATCCATCTTTATTTTAAACGTTCATTAAAGTAATATATAATTTATTAAGTTTCCTAGTAATAAATAGATAATTTTATCCTTTAAAGCTATGCTTTGTTACTAAATTTTTTTTTTGGAAAAACATGTGATCAAAATTAGAAAAATGGCTATTTCAGAAAAATATGTGACCATTTTTTTGGTTAAAAAGTATATATATAATATGAATACTATCTCATATAAGCTGAAATATATACTCAAATTTTGATCCCCAAATCAGTTTATCATCTCAGGGGTTTATCAGATACTTTTTTGACTGTTAGTCATACAACTCATAACGTGATTAAACCAATAAAAAGTTGCATTACATTATCAAAAAAAAAAGATCAAATATTTCAAAGAATTCGTAAAAAAAAATATATGCTGGTACTTTTTATTATTCAATAATTTTTAATGGCAAATTCCAACCAGTCAAGACCTTATGAGAAGGAAAATTACCCTACCTCACTTGAAATAATATATTATAGTGACCAAAAGTTTAATTATACAATTATTCAAGAAAGTATTTACCTACCAGCCGCGAAATTATATTATACCGAAGCGCCTATATATTTTCCTATCCCTGATAATTATATTATTCAAACTACTTGGGATCGGGCCAGTAATCATCGCACTATTTAATGTTACATATATTATGTAGAAGGAATTCTGCATTATTTAATTTGTTTTGGAAGTAATTTCCAATATCAAGTTGTTTCTGTTCAATCTCCGTTTGATGCTTTTGTTGAATTACATAGGGTAAGTTTCAGCAAAAATTATACTTTTATAATTAAAAAGCATATTGATATAATAAAAAATATTATTTTATTAGAGGATAACATCAGATAAGAAAACAGCTGTTTCTAAAGTTCACATTTTTGGACTTCAATTAAAATGTACTGATAAGAATCGTAAGGGTAAATCATGAGAATTAAAACTTTATGAAGAATTAAGTAAATCAACTCAAGTTAAACACGCTAAAGATCTTGCAAAAAGAGAACAAATACATTTTGAAAAGTCAGTTAAAAATTTTTATAATCCTAAAGATCGTGTTGTTTTGAAAGCTTTAGATTTTACTATACAAAATAAAGATATTCATGTATCATTTGGAGAAGAATATACTTTTAAAAAAAACAAAGATTACAATCAGTAGTTTATGTGCAAGATATAGAGAATGTTTCACATGATACATATCATCATTTCACAGCTATAGAATCAAAATTATCACAAGAATATACTATTTCACAAACTTGTCAAGAAATTAATATATACATGGAGGAATTAATACCAATTAGTCTTATTAATATAAATCCTATCATCATACAAGATCCTTTAGTAGAAGAACCTGATATAACTGATCCTATAATTGTTAAACAAGTTATTAGTGCAGTTGGAAAAGGTGCTTATTGAAGCATTAAAAAAATTCTTAAATTATAGTGCTAGCATATATTCAAAATGAAAAGTTAAGTCCTATAATGCCAACTATTCATCTTCGAATCTCTGATGATGGTAAAAATGTGGAAAAAAAGGTTAAGCATGTGATGATTACTGTAACACTATTAGATGATCCAATAAAACTTTTTGAATCAAATTATCATTATACAACTGTTTTATTTCCAGGAACTGAAAATTATTTAACTCTAAAAGTTGCTGCAAATAATCTGATTAAGAATTACAAGAATTAAATTATACTGGAATTATTATCAATAATATTTTTTGGAACTTTGAATTATTTTTTAGTTCTGATTGGAAATTTCTCGTTATTTGTTTGGTTTTAATTATACATGAAGTCGAAATGGATCATTTCGGATGTCCGAAATAGTCAAAATGATCGAAATCATTTTTTTTTAATACTTTTACTAAGCACGCACAAGTGATAATATATTTGGATGTATACTATTCAACAGAATAATACGTCTTACAACACGTCTAATTCCACTATTAACCCCCTTTGCTATATTATAAACCAGTGTGGATTGGCGTTAAACCTAGGTGAATGAGTGTCAATATCTGAGTAGACTGCCAAACTAATGAACCCTTAGGGTAGAGAGATATGGTACCCGGCCATCATTCACATTCATCACAACTACTAGAAAGAGGGTCAAG